GTAAATTATCCAAGCAATTTCTAGCTACTCTCAGAATGCTGTTCAAAGTGTCAGCATGTATATCACAATAATTTGATATCTCTTTGAATATAACATCACATATATGGGTTTTTTCAAAAACAAATTTGTGCGAGCCCTGTCACAATACAAGGTTTTAGCTGTAAGACTTTCAATAGATTGAACATTAAAGTTCAGTTGAGCCACAAACCCATTAGCATCAATTTGATTGTGCAGTAGGTTATGCGAGAACGTAATTATTGCCGCACACCTCCTTCTCAGCTCTGCTTGCTTTGCCATATGGAAAATTTAGCCCAAATGCAAATCTCGGTATTTTCAGAATGGAAGAAAATATCGAGTTGCGGTAACCGAGAGGTTCTTGACCAACTCATTGAGGACATGTAGACCGGTAAATTTCTTTTATTTATCCACTTATACAGGGTGAGCAAAGGAAGTCTGTTTTAGCAAAATTTGGGACTATGTCAAATTATCAATTTTTGATCTTGGAAATTTGTCTATGCGTCTTTTTGATCTCTGTACTATCCTAAAAAAAGTTGGCTATAACTCAAGCTATCAAATTTTAAGAGAGTGTTTCATTTATCCCTAAAAAGATTGACTTCTTTTGGGTTTCTCTTGAGAATTAGTATTTTTTCTCATACTGTTGCACAAACTGGAATTTGTTGCACCCGAGAAAAGATTAAAGCACTTATTGAATGTTACTGCCTCCAGTGGAGTGCGGTAAAAGTTTTCTACTTTGACATTATGTAATTTAAAATTTATAAGTTTTACTATGCAATTAAACATCTAAATGAACAAATCCAAGTTACTACTTTTAATATAGTATATATATACAGGGTGACTTCGAAGTTGAGTCATTTATTTTAACAGTGAGTAGATCTGATCAAAAGAAATGTTTTTTCCTTTACCATTTTTCTGGTAAAATTAAAGTAACAAAGTTATAGCCCTTTGGACTTTTGAGTACCGCCCTGTCTCAATAATAATATTATGTGCTCGTGTTTGGCGACAACGGATATAATCCGCCGTATCGGTTCATCGCATCGGAAACAAAAAAGCGAAAGAATTTGGAACGATGTTTTTACAATTATTTCATTCATTTGTATACAGTCAGTGTCAGTGAATAGTGGTATCTGTTGCGTGGCTAAAACGAAATAAAAAATGGCACATGTTTATGCGGATCGGTTTCCCAATCGAGTGCAACCAACCCCTCGTGCCTTTGTTAATGTAGTACAACGGGCTCGTGAATCAGGTGACTTAAGACCTCACAGGGGACCTCACGATCAAATACAGGTCCGCACTGAAATACTTGTCGGGAGGATACCTTATAAAACAAGGTAAACATTTTTTTTTAATTTTTTTTTTATTTTTACACACATATTTTGGTTTATCTTACTTCTACAATCATTATCTGAAAATTAATGACTCAACTTCAAAGTCACCCTGTATATATTTAATATAGTATTCCAGTGGAGTATCACCAAAAACATTTTTTGGTCTGGTAAGAAGTGCTATTAACCTGAAAATTTGTATTTTTCAAAATGCTATGATGCTATTCATCTTTTATCTGGAATTTTTTATCTTTCTCATTCAGCTTTGGCGTACGCGTCTTTATTGGAGATGTTTCCAAATGAGTAATAGACTCTATAAAATTTTTAAAGAACATCAAATGATTTATTGATTAACATTAACAACATTTCAGAAAAAAAATTTGAAGACCAGTTAAATACCCGAATTATTTATTCATGACAAAATCGAACTTTGTACAAAACAGAAACAGTTATTTTAAACAATATTGTTAGTAACCTTCTAGGGCCATCCTACACATCGATCACAGCCTGGCATGTTCGTGGCATATTTTCCGGTACCCTATTAATATATTCTCGGGATACGTTTTTCCACTCATCCTGAATGGCCTCAGATAGTTCTTCCATTGTTTGAGGAGCATTTTGCCTTGATCGCACTAAAAATTTTAGCTGAGACCACACATGCTCAATTATGTTTAGGTCTGGAGACTTTGATGGCACATGCAATAATGCAAAATTATTTTCTGCCAAAAAGTTTATAACCACACGAGCTCTGTGCGGCCTGGAGTTATCATCGATGAAGATACAATCCTCCCCATACCGGAGAAACGTCCTATTTGCATGGAGAGAGGGTAATCAAAAAAAAATACGAGGTCGAGCTGAAAAACACTTATTGCGAACAGTTACACATTCGATAATTTGAGTTATAGCCAACTTTCCAAATAATTGAGAAATCACTTTTTTAGAATAGTGCAAAGATAAAAAAGCATAGAAAAATTTCCAAAATCAAAAATTGAGAATAACAGAATAACAAACTTCGCTAAAAAACATTACGTTCTTTGCTCACCCTGTATAAGTGAATAAATGAAAGAAACATATCGGTCGAACTGTGTACCTGTTTTCAAAGACTTGGTCAACAAACATTTCAATATCTCTGTCCATTCCGAAAATATCAAGATTTGAATTTGGATAATATTCTCCATGCTGCAAAGCAACTGTCCACCAGTAGATGAGACCACAATGGTTTAATCCAGTAAGCGATCTTAAACCTTCTTCACATCTGCCTGCGTTCTGTGATATGACCTTTTTTCTATTAATATATCAGATATGTCTGTTCCTATCAGTGATGATTTGCCAGGTTCTACTGACCCCGAGCGAATAGATGAATGAAAGGAAACCGGCAATCCGATGTCAATGGTTACTGATGCATTCGGTCATTTGCGCATTTGTTCAAGCTAGTTTCTGGAATTATTCTTCGCAAATGCCAAGATTATCCTGGGCCCTGCACATCTTGTACTAAACAGTTGACGTATATTAAACCGCAGTATAGTTTTCCTATAATACCTCAAAGTTTCTCAAAGACCTAAAATGATAAAGTAGGACAGCTACTCGTCGCTACATCTACAAATCGGATCCTCCGAATTGTGACCAGTTAAAACTCTAACCATCACTCAAAAGTTATTCATATCAAACGATAGAAATCTATCTAGAAACAGGGGAAAAGTGGTCCAATCCAATGTCTTTTTCTTCTGAAGCTGCAGCAGTACTCCATCATTTGTACCTCGTTTTCAGTAGTTTCACATTTTGGTATTCAAAATCTTGTTCATCGTATAAATACCTGTATGCTAGGAATGTATGATTCACTGGCCAACTGGAGCGCGCAAATCTGAACATGGTGCTCTGGCATTTGTTCCGACAGGGCGTAAATGGGATCTGAATACACTATAGATCAGAATTTCCCAGCCAGGGGGGCATTCTGCCCAAGTGGGGCATAGAGAGATGTTAAGGGGAACGGAAAGGGTTTGCATTTTCGAAAAAAAAAACTAAAAAAATAATCAAACAACATTAACAAATAATATTACAATGTAACGTTTAATTTACACTAATAAAATTAAAAATTAATATATTCACTTATTCTGTCAACCGCTGTTTCAAAACCCGGAGTCGTCAATCGCAGTTTATACAAGTTTCGACAAGTCACAACATGAAATCCGCGCGCATCCCCGTCGGCTCCGTTTAACATTCATGACAGAAAACAATTGTGTACCTACCAGACGCGGATGAGCATCTGTGACATTCATTCCCACAAACTTTTGAAAAATTTGTCGTTTCGATGTACATGTTTTGCTGAGAAAGCAGTTTGAGCGTGTCAAATTATTGTGTCTCACTGTTAAAGGGTAACTTTGTGTCTTTGCAAACTTCAGCTACCATTTTTATTTAATTTACTAAGTCGTCCATTGAGTGGAGACGCGTTCATAGATCGGCCATTGGGACTTTTTTACCACATCACAATCAAGCCAACGTGGAACGACGAACTTTAAGTTCCTAATATTGATTCCAAATGCATTTAAAATTACTATTATAACATCAACCTGCCTACAAAAATATAAATCTCCCGGTGGCCAATATACTGTTGAATACATTGCGTAATAGTAATAGTAATTACATGTAGGGATTTCGGTTATTTATTTATTACTTATTTATTTTATTGTTATAGGTGCAAAATGGCAGCGAAAAAAGAAAGTATTCCGAAGATTACGTTAAGTTTGGACTTATCTTCATAGAAAAAGGCGAGTAACGATTGCCTCAATGTTTGATATGTATGAAAGTTTTAAGTAATGATAGCATGAGGCCCAATCGCCCTGAAAGGCGTTTGAAGCAACAACATCCTACTCTGGTTTTGGAGACGAAAGCGTTGTTTTCTTCTAAAGGAGAATCACTCAAGCGGATGAGACTGGATAAATCGGGAAGTCATCACACAGATGTATCGTAGCATCTCAAAGCTCCATTTGAAAAAAGAAACCTCATACTATCCGTGAAGAATTCATAAAACCATGTGTCCTGAAAGCCACGCAGATAATTTTAGGAGAAAATGCAGAGCAAGAAATGAGGTCTATTTATCTTTCGAATAACACAGTCAAGCGTAGAATCGAGTGCAGCAGACAACAAGTCACAAATAATTAACAGAGTAAAATTATCGCCATTTTTGCCATTAGTTGCGATGAATCCACCAACATCCTTAATAATTGTACACGGTTAATAGTTTATGTTCGTTACATCGGCGGAGATATTATGCCAGAAGAGATTTTGTACTCCCAATCTTTGACAGCAGGTACTACATCTGAAGATATATTTAATTCAATATCAAATTTTGTGAAAAAAATTATTTGGATTGGAAGAAACTCATTGGACTTTGCACAGATGGGTGTACGATCGGGCTTAGCTAAAAAGCTCAAGGAAAAAAATCCCGCAATGGTTAGTATACATTGTGCTATTCATCGGCAAGCTTTGTCTTCCAAATCATTGTTATGTTACGCCAGACTTTGGACGCGGCTAAAAGGATTGTAAAGTACAAGTTGAACAGTCGGTTATTTACTTTACTTTGCGAGGATCTCGATTCTGATCACAAAGTTCTTCTGTTACATACACAAGTACGTTGGCTGTCCAAAGACAACATCTTGGCTCGCCTTTATGAATTGAAAGAAGCGGTAATTAGTTTTCTTGAGTTCAAAGAAAAACACGATTTCTTAACAATGTTCAAAGATGACACATTTCAATGGAGGTTGGCTTACTTAACTGAGATATTTAACTCCTTGACGTATGGTAAACTTCATCAGTTGATGAGGGCGTGGATAGAAAAACGGTTTCAGATAAGCAAAACCGTTAATAACGGATCCAGATAAATGTCGGCATTTCTGTTATAAAAGAAAAAAAAATCCGACATCATTCGCTGTAGTCACATGTTCTCCATCAAAAAAAGTTGCGGGGCATCGCCTTCCAACTAGATACTACTACTTAGCACTTAAACAAAGAAACAATGAAAATAGTGATTTCAACACCCGTCCCCTTATGTGTGATAAATAACATCAATCATCTACTTTAAGTTTAAAACTCCTCTATCTCCATGTTCAATGGTCCTTCAACTGTTGTAAAGTTAAATGTGACGCAAGGAAGAAATGGAAATCACTGATGAATAGACTGCTACATGCAATCCGGAACAAATATCAGCAACATAATAATAAATTATTGCTGGCAGCCCCAGAGCAGCGAGCAAGTGCTTGCAGGAAATACGATTGCTCTCGAACTATTCCAGGACAAATTGCTTTTATATTGCATGCACCGGAAAAAAATGACTCGAAACTCAGTTATCGATGGAGTCGTTTCACATAAGAGCGACAAATAGGGACGGAGATGGTTGTATGGGAAACGGGGGAAGAAGATATGAGATGTGATCTTTTTCTCGATTTCATTTATGAAATTACATTTTGTACGAGGAGCACTTTTTAATCTCTCACAAATAACAAATAGTTTGTTGCGGTGTCTTCTTAGCCGAGAGCGTATCGATGTTAAACTACCATCGTACCAGAGCCCTGCGGGTTTGACAACCTTATTACGCGAAAATTGCAACACACAATCCCTCTACAGGATGTCGCATCGGGAACTCCATCGATAGATTTCTCGAAAAATAGGCATAAAATATTTTTGAAACTATGGGAGTATACTAACGTCAATGGGGCAACGGCAGCTAAAATATTTTCAAGACGGTAGCGGTTCCGGTTATACCGGAAGTTGATGCCAACTTGCTTATTTTAAATTGGACATATTACTCAATATTCGGATTCTACATAAAATTCTAATCACATTATATGTGTAATCTCAAATACTCAAGTCTAACCGTTCTTGACATATTTCAAATTTTATGTAAAAAATGACGTTTGAAGGCCCTAAAATAATTGTTCATTTCCCCTATGTATGCATGCATGATAGCATGAATTCTTCTTTAGGAATGAAATACCTACTATAGATAAAGTACTGCAGGAGGTAAATGGAGATACAACGTTGCCAAATTTCAAACGATCAACTTTCCATGCGTTACTGAAGCATTTAAATTTCAAATGGAAAAAACGGGGTCGTAATAGTTTACTACTGGATAGAGAAGAAATTGTGCTATGGAGGAGGGATTATTTAACAAAAATTGGGAAATATAGAAATCAAAACAGGAAGATTTATTACCTTGGTGAAACGTGGGTAAACGCAGGACACACTACAAGTAAAGTATGGGTTGATGATTCTGTAACTTCATCCAGGAGGGCCTTTCTAGATGGACTGTCCACCGGATTAAAAAATCCAGCAGGTAAATACGAGTAACAGACAACAATCGGATGTTTTTCAAACCTTGGGAACAAGGTTCTAAACATTAATTCCAGGGGGCAGATAAAACATATTACAAGTAACAAAACTTTTATAACTTTCGATAAAATGCGTGGATGTTTTATTGTCATTTTCATTTGTTAGAACTTTTTTAAGCCATGTTTTTATGTGTTTTCGATATTTCAATAATTTTTAATATAATCTTAAAATATGTCGAATATTATAAACTTAAAAAAAGTTACTAAGTTTTATATTGTGTACCATTCCTAATATTTCTAATCATTTTAATTCATACTTTAAGCTTTATAAAGTTATAATTTGTTAATATTAATATTTGCGCGTATTTCAGGTTCCTGATCATTCATTTTTTAAAGGTTTATAACTTTAAATTAAATTGTGAAGCGCTGAGTAATCATACGACGTTCAATATTCTTTCTTTCAATATGACTAAATAATCCCAATTATAGCAATCTGATACTCATGTCTCAATGTTTTTTCGCTGAATGTGATGAAAACATTTAAAAAAGGTTCGCTTATTGAAATAAATCTACACCAGTTAGTACTTCGATTTCCAGGTAAAGGGAAAAGGCTCATTATCTGCCATATTGGCAGTGAGGATGGATTTGTTGTTGACGGTCTGTGGTGCTTTGAGTCTAAGAAAACTGGAGATTACCACAAGGAAATGAATGGCGAATCGTTTGAACAGTGGTTTTCAAAAATTTTACCGAACTTAGAGGAAAACGCAGTAATTGTGTTGGATAATGCGCCTTATCATTTTCGAAGAATGGAGAAGGTCCCAACAACGGCTTCAAGGAAAGTTGATGTTCAAAATTGACTCCGCTCGAAAAATATCAACTTTGAAGAAGCAATGCTGAAAGTACAATTATTAAGAATTGTCAAGGATCACAAGGCGGAATATCAAAAATACGCCATTGACGAAATGGCAGCAAGTCAAAATAAAACTGTGCTCCGTTTACCTCCATACCATTGCGAGCTCAATCCCATTGAGCTCATATGGGCAGAGGTTAAAAATTATATAGCTAAGCACAATACAACTTTTAAATTTTGTGACCTCAAAGGACTTTTCAAAGAAGCACTAGAATTAATAACAGCGCAAAAATGGGAAAACTGTATTAAGCACGTGAAAGACAAAGTTGAAAAGAAAATGTGGGAACTGGACAATATTTTAGAGGAACAAGTCGAGCCATTCATTATTGACGTTGGTGCTTCAGGCAGTAGCGATGATGAAAGCTCATCAAGCTCATCTTTCCAATAAAAGATGTCGTTCATCAAATTCGGTAAGTTATAAGTAATTATAAAGCTACTGTATTTTTTAATTAATTATTGACATTTTTGAACCCATTTTGGCAAAAACTATTCAAGAATCTACTTTCTGACAACCATGCACATTTTTTTACGTTTTGAACGTTTTAATTTGGTTACATATTTACCTAGAAATCAAAAAATATACTAATCAATATTCTAAAAGCAATTTTAAGAGATATACGATTATTTTTAATTTAGGCTAATTTAAACGCCATTTTGAGATTATATTCGACTGGATTTCACCAAACATCAGGCGGCATCCGAAGCTGGAAATCGAAGCGAAAATTTTGAAACCCTTATGTATATTTACATCATTATATATTTCTTACCCCACCCCCACATGATTCTATATCCATCACCAATCATATACACATCGAATTGTGCTAATTTACTACAAAGTTACGCAAAGCAACATCTACTATCTAAAATATGTACTGCGTGACTCTTAATACGTCCCTGCCGAATGTTACAGCGTTCGATGATCACGTGGTCTTGTTTATGTCCGGTCTATCTCTTATCTGAATATATGTTACTGTAGACCCAAATACGGCTAAACGAGCAATAGAAAATTTCGGATGTATGAAGCCTAAGATTAAGGAATGAACCTTTAGTTGACGATGAAGCCATTGAAATAGCAGTTTTGGGGTATTTTTATGGTTTTCCAATGATGTCTTTACGACAAGCTGCACGAGAGTCAGGTTTTACGAAAGATACCATTAGCAGAATTTGGCACAAGCACAATTTTTATCCATACAATCTACCATTAGTCCAACAATTAAAAGAAACCGATTTTTTAAAAAGAATTCAATTAGGCGAATTGATTATTACAAGGTATCAAGAAAATGATTCTTTCCTGAAAAATATTGTATGGTCAGATGAAGCAAAATGTACCAAAAATGGCTTTTTCAATCGACAGAATTCTCATTATTGGGCTAATGAGAATCTTCATGCAATAGCAGAAAGAAACTTTCACGAGAATTGGCAACTCAATGTATACTGCGCTGTCAAAGATAATCAAGTTGTCTGTCTACAGTTTTATGAAGAAAATTTAAATGTTTACTTAGCAATTAACAGTTTTTTTATAAAAGAAACTGATAAGAATGTACAGAATCCGAATATTGAATAATATACAAGGTGTCCAATTTAAAATAAGCAAGTTGGCATCAACTTCCGGTGTGCCACCATCTTGAAAATATTTTAGCTGCCCTTGCCTCATCGACGTTAGTATACTCCCAAATTTTCAAAATTATCATATGCCTACTTTTCGAGAAATCTATCGATGTAGTTCCCGATGCGACACCCTGTATAATGTGACAGAAGATAACAACACCCAGTAATAATGAATTTATTACAAATAGTCTTTGGGTATATGTTTTCTAGATTAGGATAAAGAACGATCAGCTTTTCATCCATATAAACAAAGTAGTTTTCGTGATATCGTCTGTTCTTACAAGAAAAGTAAATAACCGATAGTTGTGTATTGTAGTTACAATTGGCATTTGATCATCGTACAACATTTAGTGAAGAGCTTCTTTAATATGTACATTATGCCTAGAGTTAAAAGACTAAAAAATTATCAGCAGCTTAGCCAGATCCTTTAGAGAGATAGCCACCAGGGTGCCCAGAAGTCGGTGGTGGAAGTACCGAGCGTGTCAGAAGAGCGTTCCCACACCCAGCTAGCCTTCTCGCTCTAGGGACTGCTTCTTGATCACAAGATCAATTCCGGGGAACTATAAAACAATACAAATGGTTTATCGCTAAAGCAACAGTTTTGGACTTGTTCATACCACCCTCAGTTTATACTACCACTCACTCATAGTCACCGAAGTGATCGACTGGCTTGGTGCAGAGAACAGCCGAACTAGGACGTCGAATGGAATATCACTGTGCAAGGGTAAGAAGGAAAGAAGGCGAGATTCTGAATATTTTATTAAATGGATATGCACAACTCTGTTGGAACTGTAGTATCGGGGCTATCTCTTATAGAAGCAGGTCCCCTTAGTGTTTATCAGAGTCAAGATGACCGCCGAGGGTTACATCCGGAAGGTGAAGGAATCACGGAGTCATGCATATAAAAGATTGCTGTAAAAAATCATTACTATTGGGTGTTATTTTTTTATGTCGCTGCTCTGAGATGCAAAAATCGTTTTATTTACCATACCTAGTACAAAGCTGAAGCAGCCCATTAATAATATAATAATAATAATATAATAATTTATTAGT